TGTAAAAAATTATGAGTAACAAACTAGATTATTGTTGTTCATCCTTGTTTTGTTAACGTGTGTTATTTCAGAACGAGATTTTCTTATCACATACTCAAGAAGTTGATGTTCCCTACTATCTTGATTTATTGAATTATTGCTTGTACCTCAAATGTTTGTTTCTTTTTGTCTAAATGGTGAGCTTAAAGATTATTTTTTCTCATTATTTAGTCTTTATCAATGTTACCCTATCTTTAGCACTTTTCACCATTATTATGGATAATTTTTCTAGACTCATAAATTATTTTTCTTATAGGTTAAAATATAAAGGCATCAAGCTTTAGAATATAAAGGCATCAAGCATAATAATTTTTCAAATCTCTCACATCGTTTACATTGATGTATTATTTGTTTTAATCAAAACTAATAAAAACTCCTTATTTTACCTTCAATTTTTTTTGTTAACTAACATTGATAAAGTAGTTATTTATATTATTAAACTATTGATAATAATATTAAAGAACATATAGATGATACTTTAGGTATTACCTTTAAAATTCTCTTTTGGGATCATCTTGGTATTCTTATCACCCCATCTAAGCTTAAGGCTATTGCTAAGTATTATGATTATGGAGAAATTACATAAGTGATTGAGTGGTTGGAATAAAGTATATTTTATTTACTCATTGATTTTAGTTAGTCACATCAATAATTTGGATTTATATTCATTACTAGCTTCAATTTGTATTTTGCCTTAAGGACTCTAAAATAAAATCTCTACTAATATATTCAATTTCTTGCACAACAATTGAGTGCTTAAAAATTACAAAATATTATGGACTAAAATCACTCTTTTAGATAGAGGGGGTTATAATATTCCCTCCCTTAACAATTTACATACTTTATGCAATAGCTTAATTTGCTTGGAGCCTCCTTAATAATGACTCATTTCTTTTCTAAAATGTTGCTTGATAATTATGTTTTTTTTTTTTTTGATAAACCTTATACAAGAGATTTTCCTCACTTTTCACTCAATGCTAACGAGAACATAAATCTATCATTTTTCTTTGACCCATGCTTTCAAAATTAATCTATTTTTCATCAATTTAGAGATTTTTTTCTCTTCTTTTAACACTAATCATTAGACTAAGATCAAATTTTGCATTTATAATGGCAATTTGTCTTTTACTTCAACTACTTAATTCTTCATATTGTTCTTTCATCACTAAAAATTTAGCTCATATTCATATTGTTAACACTTATGGTTGGTGTTTATGGATGAGAAAGCCAATATCTCTTATAAAGCTACTTGCTCTATCTTATATACTCATGTGCCTAAAGTAGATTGGAAAATTTTGAACTGGTTCAATGATTCTACAGTCAAATTTGCTATGTTTGTTTGGAAAATAAATATTGGTGATCACAAAACTAAAAATACTCTTTTTGTGAGAGGCATTTTCCCCCCTCAAATTTGTGCTTTTTGTAATGAAGATAATAAAAAACACCACTTCTCTTTTTTGATTGATCCTATTGATTTTATATTCTCAAAAATATTTTTTAGATAAAAATTTCTTCCACATTTTCTGTAATTTACTTCAAGTGCTTACCCTTGTTAGTTCTATGACACTTCTCTTTTTTGATTGATCCTACTGATTTTATATTCTCAAAACTATTTTTTAGATAAAAATTTCTTCCACATTTGCTGTATTTACTTCAAGTGCTTACCCTTGTTAGTTCTATGACTAATAAGTGAACAAAAATATTGTCAACAACTTATATCAATGCATATTATTTATGGATGTGAATGAATAAAAGAATCTTTTATGAGATGAGTATTAGATTTCATGTTCTTATTAAATAAATTCATTTTACTATCAAATACATAAGCATATAGTGTAATTATTTATATAAACCCTAAACCCTAAATCCTAAACCCTGAGCTTATAATATATTCCCTTTTATAACAACATGCATGGGTTTGTATTTCAGTACAAATTAGCATGAGATGATGAGGTTAATTCTGCTATATATTATGTTGGCTTTTTTTTATTTGTATCCTTTAGAAGAAAATATTTTTTTCAACATATTTATAATTTTTATATATCATCCTCAATTGCATTATAATTATTATTATCTTTCTTCCATATAAATCTTTTTTAGGAAGGCTTACACATGACTACTTGAATCATTCCATAGCAATATAACTAAACTATTTTTAGTTTAGATATGTAAAATCTTTAGTGGTTCACACTACTATGAGTTATATTGGTGTAAATTGGTTTCTAAAGCAATGATGTGAGTAATTGCACAATATTTTTTTTTAACTAGGCTAACTTATTTCACTATCAAGTTTCTCTTTGACGAAACAAAGAAAAAAATGTTGGTTTTCTTTTTAACTTGCACTAGAAAACTTTTATTGTGTTGTATAATCTTGAAACTTCTTTATAACCTTCTGGTCTCTTAAATTACTTTATGATATATTTGTAATCTTTTTGTAACTATGAATTAATAAAATTGCTAGGCAAGGTCCTCAACCTTTCCAAAAAAATTAAAAAAAATAGAACATATGCGACAAGTAGAGGTGTAAGGAAGTAAAGCCAACTTAGGCTTGAGTTGATAAGTGACTCATGAGTTAAGCCCAATGAGCATACAAGCCAATCTTAAACTAGACATGGCTCTACAACTCGTCTAAAATAATTTTTTGTTCTCTCGTGAAAGTCGAGTCTAAAATGCAATATACATAATTCGAACCCACAACCTCACTCTGCAAAACTAAACCCAAAAGATATTAAATTTCAATAACAAAATTATTTTTCTTGCTATTTATACATAATTACTGACACATCATCAACAAATTCCCATCATTCGATTAGAATATCAACGCATGACACGGATCTCGGGGTGATCTTTTGAATAAAAAATATTCAAATTTTGATTAAAAGTCATCCAAAGCTCCGTTTTTAGTAGACTTACTGTCAAACTGGCAGACTCGATGAGACGGACACAATGGTACCAAAATTGTTCCAATCCGAACCAAATCAAGCCTCCATCAAGCCATTAAGCGCTTTTGAAAATTTTTTGAGCATATTTAGAAGGTCAAACAGATACCAAATATGATGAGCTTAAAGTTAAATTGAGCGTCTTAACAAGACGAATCCAACGAACATAAGATCGCTCAATCCCAACATCGTTAAGGTACTTAAATGTTCATCAAACACCGTAGAATTGAGAGATTTTTTTTGAGCCATCCAATCAGATTTGTTTGGATTCCTTCATTAATTGCAATCTAAACTTTATGAATAGTGTCATACCCCTCTCTTGAAAGGTGGGAGAGAGCTTGAAACCTAAATAAGATTGAAACTTAGAGAATGAGCTAAAGTTTCTCTTACTCTTGCAGCCACTGATCACCACCTACCACTATCGACCACCACTCTTCAGTCGACAACCAATGATCATCTACTGTCACCCACTCTTTCAGACGAAGCACATTGTAAAGAAACAACTAACATTGCAGAGTCCCAAAGCAACCTACAAAGCCACACATCATTCTGAACACCGGACTAACCCCAAAGAAGGTGCAACAACGCAGCCCAAAGACTGTGTAACAAAGCACCCCAAAGACGATACAACAACATTCAAAGTTGGGATAATGACACAACTCACATACACTAGTGCAACTTCTGTCTCCAGCCCCTTGCGGCCTAAGCATGTCATTACAACTCGCCACTATGGCCTACCTCCTGCGTAACCAACTACAACTTACGTGGTCTACAGCTCTTGTAGCTCACGACTTCGGCCCTCATAGTATATGTACGTCATTACTACTCACCACTACGACCTACATAGCCAAATATGACCTACATGGTCCATAACCCGTGCAACTCCCGACTTTAACTCGCAGCCTACAGATGTTATTACTATTCACCGCTACGGCCTACAAGATCAATTATGACCTACGTGGGCCACAACTCGTGCAACTCTTGACTCCAACCCTTATGACACATGGACGGCGTCACAACTCACCATTATGTCATACATGACCAACTACGACCTATGTGATTCATAGCTCGTGTAGCTTCCAACTCCAACCCCCGTAACCTACGGACATCATTACTACTCACCACTACAGCCTACGTGACCAACTACGACCTATGTGATCCACAGCTCGTGCACCTCTAAATTCTGGCCCCCGCAGCCTATTGTGATCCACAACTCGTGCACCTCTAAATTCTGGCCCCCGCAGCCTATGAATGTCATAACTACTCACCACTATGACCTACATGACCAACTACGACCTAAGTCGTCCACAACTTGTGCAGCTCTTGACCCCGGCCCTTGCAACCCACATACGCCATCATCATTCACCATTATAGCCTATACGTCAACTTGTGAGTCGGCTCGATCTCATAGACTTAAGCTCGAGCTCAAGCTTGAACTCGATTAATTAATCAAACTCAACCTAAAGCTCAAGTCGAGAGTTGCTCGAGTTTAACTCGACTCATTTACACCTATAGTTATGAGATATAGAGAATCACCGCCACATGGGAAATAAAGAGAAAATTCAATAATAGGAGATGACTCCTAGCCCAATACTTTCAAATAATTTCACATGGTTATTATTTTTTTTAATATTAGTACATATTTTGACTACTCACTCTGGATTCCAGATCAAAGTTAAAAAACTATTCAATACAATACTCAATAATTATTCACCATGAGGATATGGCTACCAACGGAATATGAAACTGCACGCCCTAAGGTCAGCAAAATCTAAAAAATAAAAACTTTTTTATTAAGAGAATCGAAAATCACCCAGCGTTTACTTAACCCCAATTCCATGATTGCATCCATCGAAAATCACTCAGCGTTTACTTAACCCCAATTCCATGATTGCATCCCCATCACAAATAGCCGATAAACAGTGATCGATCCAGAACAAGCCTCTACCGACACCTCTGATAAAACGATATAATTATCTGAATCCCCCATCCCCCATCCCCCATCCCCCCCCCACCCCCATCGCCCCCATCCGACGGCTCAAACAACTCCGATCCAATCCCCTCCCCCTCCCCAGATCTAAAACCCCCCATCGCCATTGCTCCTCCTCTAGATCCGAAAGTCAGATAGCCGGCCGGTGCGGCGGCGCTGTGGTGACGATGGTGGAGCCGCACGCTAAAACCTGGACTACCCGTCGCGGCAGCAACCCTCGCCTCGAGTCCGATCCCGTAATCGATATCCCCTCAACTCCTCCCGCAGACGCTCGCCCCGGAAATAAACTCCCCTCCACCACCCCATTCCTCTCCTTCTTCCTCCCCTTTTACTCCTCCGCATCCGATGGCTTTGCATACGCCAATCTCACCACCGTCTTCATCATCGGCGCCTGGTATTTCTCCAACATCGGCGTCCTCCTCCTAAACAAATACCTCCTCAGTGTTTACGGCTACCGCTACCCGATTTTCCTCACCATGATCCACATGATCTCCTGCTCTCTCTACAGCTTCACCGCCATTCGCTGGCTCCGCCTTGTGCCTCTCCAATCCGTCTCCTCTCGCAAGCAGCTCCTCAAGATAGCTGCCCTCAGCGGCATTTTCTGCTTCTCCGTCGTCTGCGGGAACACTTCGCTCCGTTATCTACCGATATCATTCAATCAGGCAATCGGCGCCACCACGCCCTTTTTCACTGCTGTTTTCTCTCTTATAATAACATGTCACCGCGAATCCGCCGCTGTGTACCTTGCTCTCTTGCCGGTCGTGCTAGGTATTGTTCTGGCAAGCAATAGCGAACCACTTTTTCATCTCTTCGGCTTTCTCGTATGCCTCGGCTCCACGGCCGGCCGCGCGCTCAAATCGGTGGTGCAGGGGATTTTACTCACATCCGAGGGGGAGAAGCTTAATTCGATGAACTTGCTTATGTACATGTCTCCCATCGCCGCCGTGATGCTTCTTCCGATTACGCTTTGGATGGAGGGGAATATAGCTGCCACCACGGCGGCGAAGGCTGCAGATGATCCGCGGCTGCTTTTCTTCCTGTTCGTGAACGCGACGGTCGCCTACCTCGTGAATCTGACCAATTTTCTGGTGACGAAGCACACCAGCGCTCTCACTCTTCAGGTTCTGGGCAATGCTAAAGCCGCGGTGGCCGCCGTTGTTTCTGTTCTTATTTTCCGGAATCCGGTGACTGTGATGGGGATGACCGGGTTCGGGATAACGATTTTTGGGGTAGTTTTATACAGCGAGGCCAAGAAGAGGTCGAAATCTTCCTCCTCCACCTCATCATCTTCTTCCTCCCCCAATTCTTCTTCTTCTTCTTGAAATTCTCGCACGGATTCTATCTTCTTCCTCCCCCAATTCTTCTTCTTCTTGAAATTCTCGCACGGATTCTACTATCAAATTTCCTTAAAAAAATCTGTTTTCTGCGCCGCTGCAAAGATTGTTATTTGATAGGATAAATTTTATCATCAACTGTAATAGTTTTTTTCTGCATTTCTGCGCTCTTTTAGATCGCCATAACAATTTTTTCTTTGCCACGGCTATGAGCTCAAATGATCAGACAGCTAGCTGTTCGCTTCGTCGTTGTCACTTACAGCTAAAGAGAGATAATAGAGGTTTAGAGATGCAATCAAAGAAAACGTTGGATGCTTTGCTAAGTTGGCCCACAACATATGCCTCGATGATAATCCTTCCAAGAAAAATAAATAGATTTAAAATATTCTAATTAAAATTTAGAATTATTAACTACAAAATATAATATGTAAATAAATAATTATTTTTTGGTACTCATTACGGAATAAATTGAATAATTGTAAGATTCATAAAAATTCAATTTTAATTAAATATAGTACTAAGTATTCTTGTCGGTTTTGGCAAATAATACTTTTTAGCTTTTCCCTCGTCGTCTCTTTATAAGCATTTGTCATTCATTACATGTATTAATTTACCTTCTTTTTGAGCATTGTTTGATATCTATAAATATTGTACCTTTGAGAATATTATTTCCCTCCAATTATCATTCTGTGCATGGTATCAAGGCAGTCCAATCTAACCAAGCTTCTTTCTACCCAAGTACATGCATTGTGTTAAAATCAATGCTAATGAACTAGCAAAGCTTGTCTATACCAATGATGAAGTTGATCTTATATTAAAAATATATGGTGGTATCCATGAAATAAAATACTAAATTTTTTGCTCGACCATGCATTTATGAGAGAGAGGCACTCCTTCGAAGAATCATATGAAGAACTAACTACTTTGAGGCCCAACTCAAAGTTGATGCAAGAAAGAAAGCAAGCTTCTTTCATATGACCATGGATGTAAATCTAATTCAAAAAATCCATCAACCTCCCACTAAAATGACCATCTCACTAAAGAAATCACAATTCCTCCGCTTCATAAACCCACTAAAATTCACATCAAATAAACTAAAAATTGAACTTGCTAAGCCTGGCCTTACCATGGAAAACTCCCAACTTTGTTGGAAACGAAGTCATTCAACACAATGGTACTCTAATTTCACTCACAAATGACCATCCCTACAACAACCTTTATCACATACATCCTTCTCCCCTCAAGCTCATACTCCCAACTTCTTGAAGCAACATGTGAGGTAAGAATGGCTTCCAGTAAGTCACACCAATTCAATTACTTTAGCCTCTTTTACCACGACATTCACCATACATAATATCACATAAATGTCATCTAGATCAACAAATTTGGGATCAACCAAGCCGTGAAGAACGAATTGATGGTTGGAAAAATCCACCTCGAGTTTTGGATGGTCAGCCAAGTCGTCCTCATGCTCCTCCCAGAAAACCGACGAGGCGATCTTCTCCTTCCTCTCGATAACCTCCTTCTTCAATGCCGCTATAGTACCGACAAATTCCGAGTTGGCCTTCTCGGAATTGTCAAACTTTAGCTTCATGAGGTGTTGGTCATCACGAATCCTCTTAAGTTCCACCTCCAGCGAAAACTCCTTTTTTCGATCCTTATCCAACGCTCCCTCCAATTAAATCACAGTCAGCCCCAGAGAGGGCTGTCAAAAAAGCTAGTTGTTCAAAAACAGCTCGTTATTGACTCATTGTGTAGCTCGTGTTTGACTCGTTCGTCAAGTAAACGAGCCGAACACGAACACGTTTTTGCAGCTCGAATTATAAACGAGCCGAGCACGAACAACACTTTGTTCGCTAGTGTTCAACTCCTTTTAGCTCGAAATAATATATATATATATATATATATATATAAAAGTTTAAATCGTAACAGCTCGTGGTAATGTGATTATATGTCTTATTTTGCATACATTTGGTCCAAGTTCGAATCTAACACTCTACATTTATTTTTTTCAATTTAATTTTAACGAGCCAATTTCGAGTAAAAAACGAGTTGAACACTAACATGAATATGTAAATCGAGCCGAACACGAACATACTGTTCACGAGCCGATTTCAAATACGTGTAATTTCGAACGAGCCGAACAAGAGCCATGCTTGAGCTCGTTTAAGCTCTGCTCGTTTACAACCCTAGCCCCAGAAAATGGGCACTTTGTGCCGCCATCAATTGCCACAGGTCCAACGGTTGAAGCCCCCTAGGCGTTTTGAAGGAGATCCCAACGGTTGAAGCCCCCTAGGGCATTGCTAAGTTCCTCAAATCATAGCAGGTCCAACAAAGCCAGGGGGATGCTACTATTCTCACCTAATTGTGGGTCCCAGTCTAAAGACCGATCTAGTAAACCAAACAGCTTGTCGGACTCGAGCCACGTTCTCTCGACGCCCTTATGCATGGGCTCCCACCCGAATGATTTCCTACTCTTCTTCAAAAGAGGGGGACACGGGATGTTTATTTCCTCTATCAATTCCTTCCCCCACTAACAGATCCCTTATACCTAGGGGAAGGTAAGACCTCATCAGTGGAGGATGAAGCCGACTCTGTTGATGAGGAATAGGATGAGGCAGTAGAGGTAGCCCAACTAGCTTTGGCACTCACAGATAAGTCGATAAAGGAAGGGTCCCTGACCCGTGAATCTAGTGGAGCGGTGGCGGTCGACGACTCGCCAGCTTTTGAAGAAGCACGGGCTGCTACCATGGCTTCATTCGGAACCCCTCCAGATTCAAACACTCTCCCTTCACCTTCCCTCGTATCAACAAAGTGGGAGGCATGTATCTGAGAAATAGCAGCAACCTTTATGGTTAGTTGATCTTGAACAACAATGTTAGTTTCAAACACGAAGACAATGTATCTTAAGGCCACACTATAACGGAGTTGGTCCTTGTCTCCTATAGAATTATCTAGTTCTAAGAGACGCCTCTGCTTCCTGTGTTTGGTGGTCAGCTTGTACTTCACCACCTTTGCTCGGGTCGCCTCCTTGATGTTTGAGAGGCACCATTGATCCTCCGTCATCACGTCTGTCAATATGCAAGCGCCCGTTGTCTCGCCAGTGTACTTTAGAAGCGAGAGATAATGGCTGGTCAACATCGTCGTAGCAACTTCCATGCTCGGATGAAGAGACTTTGACCCGTGCATCGCTCACTCGAGCGGTTGGGTTTGGATCCCACATGCACTAGTACAAGAGCTGACCAAAATTTTCTTCTTCCAACCCTTTACTTTATTCATGACAAAGCGGAGTTCTTTGCCAGCTGAAATCATGGCAAAGTGTTCCCTATCAACCTTGAATGAGAAAAAAATGCTTAAATAGGTTGATAGACCATGGAATACGCTCCCGACGAAGGTCATTATGGCGGCTACAAAGATTGGCAATACTTGCGCCAGAATAACCTCGTATATGTTGAAGACACTCTGGAGCTCGTTGCACAGAGGTAAGCAAAGGCCATATTTGAAATGTTCTTGGTAGAAGATCAGATCCTACCCATGCATCCTCAAGTTAACCTCAACATTTTCCGAAGAGCTACAATATCATGTAGAACATACTTCCTCTGCAAATTCTTCACAACATTCTTCGTCAAAAATAAAGGATCAACACCCTTAACAGAGCCAAAGAGTGTAGAAGAATGCTTTAGAGCCATTTCAAAATAAAAGATGATTGAAAGACGAAAGAAAAAGAAAGTCATAAGCACAGAGAAAGAAATGAGGGCATTTAAAACATAAAATAGCAGCCCCAAGCCCTACTTATAAGATGAATGCGTAAAACGAATCGTCACGTAATGATAAGTGTCACACCAAATATTTTTTTAAATTTATTCAAATGCCGTTTAATTTTAAAATAATTTTATTTCATGTATAGAACAAAATGCTTTATGAACGAGTCCTCCAAGGCCTCAGTTGGGACATACCCCCTTTGAGTCAGCCTTCCGAGGACCATTTGTCCACCTAACCTAATATTATCCATTTTTTCAACTTTTCATTGGAACTTGCCCAGGTCATTCAACCTACTAAACTCCCCCAGCTCGTGCATTGTCTCGACCATCCCACTATGCAAGATGGCGACCTCCACTTGCAGAGCTGATACATTCAAACACATGATCTCCATACGAGATGATAACTCTCATATAAAATATGTGGCTGGACCTCTGATTGCCCCCTCCAAAGAATCGACTATCACCACCAAGAGCCCATACACCCCTATCTACTGCTCCATGGCTCCAAAAGAAGATGGTTGCCACTTTTTTTGCTCCTATTTAGAGTCGGTGGTGAGAAAAGGGTCGGGGGATCGACACCCTTCCAAAGTGATTATCGGCAGAAGCCACGCATATTCGGCCTGCAGACTGGTCACAGCAGCAGGGGCGGACTCTGCAACATCCTTCAACGCCCCAACATCTTGGCGTTCATCTGACTCGATTGATTCATTTGCATTGAAATAATATCAAAAATTGTTGAGAACCATCCACAATCAAGGAAGGTTTTACATACATATAAATCTAGTATAGAAGAACGGATCTTAATGGGCTTCTTTCCCTCTTGCTTCCAAGGTACCTCCACCATCCTACAATAGCGGCTGAGAAGAGACAATGATTGCTTCTCCCTCCAACTCCTTTCTGATCGCCTCAGCACCGTCAATGAGCAGGGCTTGCTAGCCCTTGGCACTTACACCCATGCCAGACTCAGGGGTCGCAGCCTCCTGACGAAAGACTTTTGGCATTTGCCCCTCGAGATCTCTGGATGAGTCGACTTAATCAGCCGACAAAGTTTCGGGCCCTAACCCTTTCCCTTTTTTTAACCTTGTTCTTCTTGCAGAGATCGAAAGCCTATATCCCACCATGGAAAGAATTCTGTGGTCCACGACGATATGACTCAAGCCATCAGTCATGATGCAACTCGGTTAACTAAGAAAAAATGGTGACGACAGATTCCATGCCAATCCTATGCTCTATTTATAGAGCACATTAGACACAATAACCAAAGGAAAGTTAATTATCAAACTAATTTTTTTTAGCGCCACTAATTATTAAATAGTTTTCGTGTCCTTATCATAGATATCACTTTCCCGACACGAATTTTAAAGCAATCGAGCGACCCAAGATAATGGTCCAATAATCAAGGAGTCCGATTAGAAGAGCACGATCCAAACCGTTCATTCAACGAACAACTACCCGGTTGAAGTCAACTGACACACTATGATGAGTGATTCAATTAACGAACTAC